TTGAAGAGATATGATAACCGTAAACAATAGCAGGATCTTTTGGCTGGAAAACTCTAGCAAGAAACTCTGGTAAGGGCTTCTGGCAGGAAAGCTGACAGAGAATTTTTGGTAGGAAGTTTTGACATGCAGAAACAATGGCAAAACATTGGTTTTGGCATTTCTATATTATCTGTTTGTTACAAGTACACATTACCATTATATGAGATTCACTCTCTGCAGTGGAGTCTCTTATTTGTCAGGCAACCGTAGCAAATTGAATGAGAAATTCTAAACCGGGGCTATTTTATAGTAAGTAAATTAAAAGAAGTAATATTTTTTCACAAAAAACTAGTGATGAACTGCTTGCATAGTGCAGATTTTTCCCAGCCTGCCAAGAAATCAGCAGTATTGGAATTCCTAATTTTAAATCATTTTACTAGTAGAATTTCAGGAACCTGTAAGGGTCTGTAAGGAGGAAACTTCACCCTGAAATCATGCTGAAGCACTCACAGCTGCCAGCAGTTAGATTTATTGGGATGGTGTCTTTGGAGGTTGCTGTTGGTTCATCAGCTGCAGGTCCAAGATTATTCTGTGTGCTGGTGTTACAAATCCTATGGGCAAGGAACTGGGATGGAGGCTGTTTTCTATTCCTCACTTTTCTTAAGAAAAATTCAACAAGAGATTATTACTTCTAGTTTACCATCAACATAGACGAAGTTCAGCTTCCTCTTATTTCCTTGATTTGGTTGTTAGATGACACAAAAAAGTCATAATCTACTAATTTTATTCACATTTGAACTGAGATTATTTTTAAAAAAATATATATAATAATTATAGTTATTTTTTAAAAAATACCTATAAATAGTAGTGAACTGGAATGCCAAGATTCCTTTCCTTTTTTTTGTATCCTTGATAAAACTCAATACTTCCTAATGGTGTGTTGGCAAAGCTACATCTTTGTTCATAATCCTTTTTCTTTTTTCCAAAACAAAATAGGATGGTATTTTGTAAGGAAAAAAGCTAAAAACTGCACCTATATATTTTTGACCCTTTAGGTGTTTTGTTGCATTCTATTCCACCAGACTTCAAACTTAGTAGAGTGTGCCAGAAGCACTAGTGTGTGTTAGTTAAGCCAATAAAATGAGCAGTGGGATTAGGCATTCAGAATAATATAGCAACAGAAATAAACGTAAAAAACATGTAATACCTTTTTGTTCACAAAAATGGCAGGAAGTTTAGTAGCATTGTAATTTAGAGAAGAAAATAATGTGATTAGTACCACATGTACTGTCACTGATTTTTTTACTAGACCTCAACATAACAAGCAGTTTAACAAGACTTAACTAGGAATAGAATAAAAGCCTGTCTTAGTGGATTCACCTAACATCTTCTCTGTTTCCTTTGGAATGATGGGAATTCACAGTCAGAAGGCACAGTCTTCCTCAAGCTGAGTGGTATGGTTGACACACCTGAGTAATGGGATGCCATACAGAGGGACCTGGACAAGCTCAAGAATTGGGCCCATGTTAACTTCACAAGTTCAACAGGACCAAGTGCACTTCGGTTGGAGCAAACACTGGTATCAATACAGGCTGAGGGATGTACGGATTGAAAACAGCTCTGCCGAGAAGGTGGGGATTCTGGTGAATGACCCAGCAATGTATACCTGAAGCTCAGAAAGTCAACCATATCCTGTGCTGCATCAAAAGAAGAGTGGACAGTAGGTCAAGAGAGGTGATTATCCCCATCTACTTGGCCCCCATGAGATGCCACATGGAGAGCTGTGTCCCAGACTGGGGTCCTCACTGCTGCAGAGCAATTTAAATTAGTAGTAGAATGGCTAAGGCTTAGTAAGAGAATAGGCCTAAAAAGCAGCACTCCAAAGTAGTAAGTTAGCAACCCTGTTTGTGAGCATGAAATGTACTGAAGAAGTAGAAACAATAATTAAAGGATTTAGTCAAGCATGTATATAATGATTTGTTACCTTGGATGTGGTGAGGGTCTGTTAAACAGTTACTAGGGGTAAGACAGCTTGAGTAGATTTATGATTAGAGTAGTTGATTGTCAATTGTTAGCAATATGAGCTTGTTTGTAACTGAATGAAGCTGCTCTGCTGTAGAAACTGCGCGTACTATTTTGCCGTGGAAACCACATGTAAACTTGTTTGTGTATAAAAGCTGAACTGAAAATGAAGGTCTTTGGAATCCTGACTTAGGACGTTAGTCCTCAGGTTCCCGGGG